AAATTACTTCCTTACACTATGCTTCTCTATGTACTCCAATTTTTGAAGTCTTTATTCAGACTTCTCAAGGCCATTTTCAGATGTTTTGAGACCACTTTTATTCCCACATGTTCTGGGGACAGACAAAAGCAGTCATGCTTTTCCAGTAATGCAAAAACATAGCCTACAGCCAGCTGGAAGGAACTGTTGGATCCCATGTAGTTCAGAGCAAGGCTAACCTGGCTTAGAGCAGATTGCTTGAGCCTTATCCAGACCAGTTTTCAGACCATCTCCAACAACAGAGACTCCACAGTCTCTATGGTCAACCAGTTTCAGTGGTTAGCCACCCTCACTACCAAGGACCTTACTGGCAATTTTTGCAGGAAGCAGGACAACATGCTGAAGGATGCAGTTTCTTCTTAGGGCTCACTTCTGGTCCTGTTAAGTCAGGATCCAGGAAAATACAGAGAAGCCTGCTCCACATTGCTTGCTCTTCATGGCAAGAGGATTTCAGCACTCAAGCACAGCATTCACCAAAAATATTAAAGAGAGGGAGGAAGAGGGAATCACCTCACTTCCTGAAGTTATCACGAGAGAAACATGCACAAGCTATTTCAGGCTCGCTGACCTGCTAAGAGCATTTATTTTAACCTGTGTATTACTTCCCATTAAAGAATATCCTGTAGCTTCTTCAGCATGAGATACGTACTCAGGTTGAGCTCAAATGAGATAGAGAGCTCTCATGAAAGCATGCACTGGCGGACAGAAGGGCCCTTCTCATGGACTTTGTTGCAAGAAGGAAACGGCAGGAGCTACACACACACGTACACCTAGGAGATTAAGGATGAGGGGTGCCACATAAACACATTAAATCTTAGAAACTTTTGCTTCTTAGTAGTTGGAGGAGTTACAAAACTATACATTCTAACTCCAGAGCATACTTATGTGTAATTGGATCCAAATGAAGAACACTAATGAGGTTATGGCTGAGTTAAGTGTTACAAAACAGACTCTCAAACTATTCTCCTTGTGCTTCCCGTTTATCTCCTTCCAGGAATTAGGAAAAACTTTCTATTCTGAACTCCTTTGATCTCTCAGATTTAGACCAAACTGCTCCCCCGCCACTTGCATCTCCAGCCTTAGAGACAGTCTTGACTGATCTTTGTCAACTGTCTTGGATGAGGCCCAAGGACAGCTGCTCTTGCAGACTTGTGTGCTTGCAAGACTGAAGAGTGATCCCAGTATCTTTCAGGGCCTTGATGTTCAGGGTTATTTCCACTGAAAATAATCTTTTCACTATTCAGATTTCACTCTCAGCTCAGCAGCAGTGACAGAGTCCTCAGAGAGAATCACAACAGAGTACTAACATAGTAAACAGTTCATTATTTTCTTCTTCCTCCTGTTCAGGTACCCAGACATACGCACACATGTAGCTGGTGCTAAGTGAGAGCACTACACTATCATACTGGTTGCCACAAGGACACAAAATACTTTAAATGAAGCATTCTACTAAAGCATGATTATAGACATCTTTCTTAAATTTAGTTTTTAATGATGCCTTTTCTGGGCTATTTGCCAACTAACAGTTCAGCAGTTATCTTTCAATAATAGATTTTCACATCTATATTTGAAGTACGGAGCTAAACAAGTAGGTGTTAACAGCACACAGGACAGGTAGCTGCCTTGATGATTTGTGGCTACTTCCAGCACCCTCTTCTTTAATACTACCAAAATCTCTTCTACTATCCCAGAACTTAACTATCTCCCCATATAAAGACTGGTCTCCCCAGCCCTACTCAAATACAGCTAGCACCAATGATTTTGAACCAAGACAGTCAAGTCTCTTTTTATAAGAGATCCCATAGACCAAGTGTTAGAGTGCACCACATGACGAAAAGGAGAAGGTGTTCACATTGGAGCCAAGAATAAGAGAAATCAGTAGAAAGAACACAAAAACATTTAATGAGATTTGAATTTTGATAACACTTCATTGTTGTAAAGAAGTCACAATGCAGATATGTTTACCTTGGCAAAAGCATAAACTTCAAAGAACTCCTCCCCTCTGTTGCATCACTATTTTTTATGGTTTCTATACCTAACTCCATTAACCACATGGAGATTCAATGTAGTTAAAGGCACAGAAAACTTCAAGGCTGTTGCATAAAGACATTTTACTAAATTGTACATGTACACCAAAACCAATATATGCACCTCCAAAGGAAGCCTCTGTATTCCTGTCTTCATGTCACAATTGTCAGACAACACCAACATACGCTTTTCTCCCTCCAAAGCAGCTTGGTGTTTATACAAGCAGGGCAGATTACATAGCTGTTAGAACTTTAAGCACTGTAGGTAATAGAGAACAGTACTTCAGCATGCTCCCTTCACAAAGGGATTAGCATTGCTCGTCCTCCTCAGTGGCCTTTTCAGGGTTTGGAGGTCATCAGATATAAAAATCATACCTGTTCTCACAGGTGGGAAATTGCTCCTTCTATAGCAAGTATCTTTTTCTAGATGCACATTTTCAATTCTGACTGTGTTATACAGGTAAAAGCACTGAAGCCCTGCTTCAATTTTATAACTCTCAGTTTTTCTTAGGAAAAAAAAAGAGAATAAAAAAAGAGAAAGGTTTAGTAGCAATGCAGTTGCCAAACACAGTACCTTGCTACCTGATGCCATTTAGAGAGCAAACTAATGATGGAGAAAGTTAAATATGTAATTTCAGTAGAAATAGCAAGGCAGCCGCACCAGTTTGGACTCAGCTAGAGAGCTTCAACTGTTTTAATTCCCATTAGCTGGGGGGAGGGATCCCAAAGCAGGAGGCAGGGGAGAGTCAGCACAGGGCTGAGAGAGGACTTCTATACAGACAGAGCAGTAGCTGCTCTCTCCTTTTCTCCTTACCCAGATTTCTTAATTTTTCAGCAATTCACTTTAGAGCACAACCCCACAGATAACCACTAGAGGCTGAAGCAGCTGCTGCACAGTTGGGAGGAACAGCTGAGCAGCCATAAGACATAAGAGAAGGGTGGGAGGGACAGGAGCAGAGGCAGGAACCCCTAAGCTGCCAAGGGTAACATGTACAGTAACCACAGCCTCCAGGGCACAGTCCCCTGCCCCAAAAAACTTAGCTCCAGTCAAGGCCAGCCAGAGGAACTGGCATGCCTCTTGCTTCACATTCCTTGGAAACTTGCCTTAGCTAACTATGGAAATAATCATTTCATGTACAACATGAAGAACTACACATTTGACAGGCAGATGCTAAGGGCAACATCCTGCTCAGCTTGAGGTCAGAGGATGCTGAAGAGCCTAGAAGAGTGACGCAGAAAGACACATAATACTTCAGGAATGAAAAGCGGTGCTTTCTGGAGGAACAATAACAGGGATTCAAGAGATACAATCTTAATTTTAGGATATTTGCTCTTGCTTAGCTAAACAGGTCTTTAAATAACATTTGTGCATATATAAAAAGCTTTTCCTCTCTGTTTGTAGCTTTCCTCAACTCCCCACACCAATTCTCTCTCATATTCTCTTCCTGATTCTCCCTTTCTGCGTGTCCTCCTCTCACGTGCTCCTGCTGCACATGGGGTAGAAGTGCTCTGGAACAGCTGTATTTCCTCCTCGTGTGTTCCTTCCCCTCACAGCAGAGGGGAAAGTACATGCCAGCTCAGCTTGCCTCGTGCTTCACAGCACTTGAAAAGGTACACTGCCAGAGCAGGTCCCTCCAGGGCAGCACTGCCATCCCTCTTGCCTTCACTGCAGGGCACACTGTGAGTAACATACAGAGGCTAAACAGACTCTGAGAGGACCTCTTCTTTTTCAGATGGCCTCTTAGGTCTCTGCACTGTCCTCCCAAGCTGGGCTTGGGAAAGGTAATGGACAGAGGAAACAGAGAGGAAATTAGAAAGAGTTAAAAAGGGTGTGAACAAGGAGCAAAACACACTGCCCACTCTCTGGAGGTCAAGACAACTGAGAACATCTGCTTATTACAGCCCTGTCTTTGAGAAAGCACTTCAAGAGTAAAGGAGCAATTTAGAAGTACCTCACTGTGGGTTCCTGAACAAGCACACCTTATTGCCAGAGACAACTGCTGTATCACTTTTGTTTTATAGAGGAGGCTCAAATAGGATACATGGTAGCTGCTGAGGAACACCTACCCTCCCAGGAGGCATACGGTCCTGCTCTGCAGGAGCTGTTAGTTAGAAATTGAAGCACAACCATTAGAGTAGCAGAAGCAAACAAAGGGGAAGACAAGGTAAAACTTGAAGACTATTTGCTGTTGCCAAAACTGATTCCTTTCACAAGCCCCCAGGAGCCAGCTCGGAGGGCAGAGACCTGCTTTGTTGACTCTACCAGAAAGCCAACCTACAAGGTCCACCTCAACATTCGCTGCAGACGAAAGCACTTGAGAGAGAAAGGCTGCCACACAAACACCTGCGTGAGTATGTGACCAAATAAAATCATGCCCTGCGTGGATGCCACACGTGCGGGCAGCGGTGTATGCTAAGGTTCCAGCGTGTGCCACAGCCCCAGTGTGGCTCTTCCCACCCTGCCATGCCAGCCGGAATTCCACAGCCGTGGCTGTACCGCAGCAGGGATGGCCAAGGATGCCACGAGCCACCTCCTCTGCCCGGGCAGAGGCACGGTCCGAGCTGCCAGGAGGGGCCGGGGGCTGCGCCCGGAGGCCACCGCCGCCCGCACCGCGGGCACGCACCCAACCCCGGGGGAAGCGAGGGGAAGCAGGGAGGGATCCCAGCCTGCCAGCACGGCTTCGGGAGGTAGGAGGAACGCGTCCAGCCCAAGACAGAGCAGTCTGGAAGAAAAGAGAAAGAGCAGACAGGCACGAAGCGAGACTCGGCTCCCGACCCTTGTACCCGGAGGGCGCTGGTCCCGCGGGGCCGGGGGAGCCGAGCTGCCCGAGCGCGGCGGCCGCCGGGGCCCCGCCCGCCCCAGAGACCCCCCCCCGCCCCGCCGGCTCTGGGCAGCGGAGCCCCGCCGGGCCCCCCAGCCCCGCGCCCCCTTACCGCGCTCCGTGCGGGCGAGGCGGCGGGAGGGGACGGCGAGTCCCGCCGGCGCTGCAGCCGCTGCGGCGGCCGGGACATGTTGGGCCGGGCGGCTATTTATAGCGGCAGGAAGCGGCGCCGCGGCTCTGGGGCGCCTCTCCCGCGCCGCCGCACATGCCCCGGGCCGGGCCGGGCCGGGCCGCCGCGGGTGGGTGCCCGCCCCCAGTCCCCCGTCCCCCGCCCCCGGGGCTGTGCCCCTCGGCACGCTGAGGCTCCCGCGGGGTGGTCTTTCCCGGGCAGCGCGGGAATCTGGTGGTGGCCGTGCCCCCGCCCGCACCCGCGGTCCTCCTGTGCCCGGGGGCAGATCACATCGGTCAGAGTTACAGAGGTAGCCCCGTTACAGGGAGATGGGTCCAGGATCCCAAGTGCCGACGGCCTGAACCGTGACTTTGGGAGCTCTTCCGGGGACTCATCCCGTTCAGACCCTCACCGGTTCCCCAGTCATGGATGGCCTCACCCGCAGGGGCAGCTCTGCATTCCGTGCCCTCTTGGCCGCCGCTGCCCCCTTGTCGGGGAGCGCCGGAGGGCAGAGATGTGCTGGGCTCTCCTGCTCCGCAGGGACAGCCCCAGCCCCTGCTCTGCTACGGGACAGCCGCCCGCCCGCCCGCAGGCTGGGCAGGGGGCTCCTCTCACCCCTGCTCACGCTGCCCCACTCGGCCACAGAGCTCTCCACACGCCTCGTTTTCCCTACCAGCCTCCGATGGCCTTGATGGCAGCCAGCAGGGAAGGGGTAGTGGAGCCTGGGGAATGGAAAGGCAGCAGGCAGACATACAGAGCGGAGTAGAAACGTAATAAAACAGTGGGAAAGAGGTACTTGCTTTTTCCCTGTTAAGGTTTGCAGTGTACCGAGGTGTGGGAAGGTCAATTACCCCTCTCTACGTGATGCCCCAGAAGATATTTGTGCTTCATTCCTCAATTAACTCACACAGAGATTACTTTGCCAGACAACCAATAGAATCTGCTCAGCTTTTCCTTCTCAGCTTGACTAAGTTTTCTAGAAGCAAAATTTCTGTTAATCTTTTTAGGTCCAGCACTGAAGTTTTGAATGGAAAAATGCCCAAAGTATATGTAATGGAGTAGCTTGTGCATATAGGAGCAAGCATTGAAGGGCAAGAGCTGTGTGCTTAGTGTCTATTTGAGCCAACACATTGATCTCACATGTTTTTGTCTCTGTAGGATTTTACATTTTGGAGGTGTTGGGATGTTTTTTGTTTACTCCATGCATAGACATGGTGCAGTCCAGCAGCCACATAACACTGTTATCTAAACTATATGAATGTTAGGGACAGGTGTCCTGAAAAACTTAAATACGCACTTCATTCACTTGTAGCAACATGTCCCAGCAAGGTCAAAGACTGAGTAACCTGTGTGCTAAGCTAACCTGCTGCAACTTACTTTCATGTTTTCATCAGGAGATGAGCAGTTGCCTAAAGGCACAGCATTATGGTGAGACATGCTGTCATAAGAGCAATGGCGTTACTGATCAGCCATCAGTGTAAGGTTGGAAACCTTACCAGGCTTTTATATAGGTCATTTCTCTGTTTTTGTGTCATTGCATGGTTGGAGTATTCCAAGACGGACACAAAAACTGGTACAATTTTTTATGTCTACCCTTTTCTGACCCATACACACAAAGTAGATTAGCTTGTAAGCAAAAATTATGGTGCTCACAAATAGTAAAACTGCAGGTAGTCTGTTTACTGCTTTTACAGTCCCAAAGCTCTCTAAAGAGGGTCACAAATCCACATGAGGTTCCCAAACACAGCATACAGCATTTGGGTCATTGGTTAGCTGAACAGTCATGTAGAGGCAAACAGCTTCCTCTTGTCTACATACTGGGGAAATACTATGTGATGTGTTTATTCCAGGCTCCGTATGGGATAAGAAGCAAACACTGATACAGATCTCTTGGCTGTTAGAAGTTGGGAAGATGTGCTGCAATGGGAAATCTGTGCTGAGATGACAGGAAATGGTGACACCTCTTGCTAGGAAACGGTTGTCCCTTTATGGGGAGTCCACTGAGTGGCCCATCATCACTGTGCTGCAGTAGCCTACGAACTCCTTTGGACTCTTGCCTACTGGTCAGGCTGGCCTGTCCCATGGTAACAATGAAATTGTTCTGTCCTTGCTGTAGACAATCCGTCTACAGCCAGGGGGACTCAGCAGGGCTCTTGCAGTGAGCATGGAAATGCTTGCCTGCAGGTTGGTTGTTTTCCGTAGCTGTGTCAGTCTTTTATACTTTATCAGGGAACGAAGTACATTTATTTTAGATAATCTTTAGCAAAGCAATGCATGATTGCCCTTTCTATGGTTGGGACTTGACTTTCAGAAAGAGAGAAAGTACTTCAGAGTTTTGTTAGAAGTCAGTGTCTGTGCAACATTCAGCTGAGAGAAGCTTAGGAGACTTTGTATGGGTTTCACAATTTTTAAGAGAAAGAGAGAGGGAGAAAATTTATACCCAGGAGCATGCCTAGCGGCCTGGAGGCTGTGCTAGACTTTGTCTAGCACTAGTAAATATATGAAAACGTGAGGTCTTGTGCCTGGGTTCAAAGAGAACAACCTTCTAAAAGCGTCCAAAGTCAAAAACATTTCTGATGTGCTAAGCTATCAGTGACTTTAAAGGTGGCATCTTGCATGCCATCATACCAGAAAACAAACCTTTCAGGGAGGTAATGTGCTCCCTTTCTCCACTAGCAGCATAGTGTTCATGCACTTTGTGGGTCCTGTGTTACACGTACTCTCTCTTGTCCCGCTGTCCCTACCTGCCGTGGTTTGCTTCAGCTGTGGAAACAGAACTGCTGGGTCAGCATGCTGATGAAACTCACACTGCTTTCACACATCTCTGGAGAGATGACCACAGCAAGGAGGTTGGCAGCAACTTATATCCTGGAGCAAAAAATGAGTACTTAAGTTATCTTACAATTGCCTGAAAAAATAACCTGACTTTTTAAAAGCTCAAACTGAAGGAGGCTGCAGGACCCAAGCACTAGTGGCAGGTGAATGATCACACCTGGCACACATAAGCTCATAATCAAGCATTTGGAGTTCAGTGAGTGTCATTTTTCTGTTCTCTCTCTTGATCAGCTCAACTACATTTTACAAAGCCAAGATCCTACTGGCTGGATAGACAGAATGAGAACATTGGGTTCAGCTTAGCTGTCTGATGACAATGGAGAGCAGCAGCCTGTTCTGATTACAGACTCACGTAGAGGTGAAACTGCTCCCTTGGACCTGGTACAAGGTAATGGACTTTAAAAACTCAAATAACCCCCTCAGAAGGGTCAGGTGTCTTGAAGAGCAAAGTGCCAAAGGGGAAAGAGATTTGAGGGTGACTGCATCTCCGAGAGCTGCATATCCATGACACAGTAGAGAGTAGCTGAAGGTCAGCTAAAGGGATGGGAAGGGGAAAGTTAACTGTCACATGGATTAAAAATTGGAAAGAGAATCAGACTGAAAAAGATGGAGATGTTCCAGGGAGCTATTCTATTAAGGACATAAATAGGGTGTTATCAACAAGTTCATATTAAACAAAAGCAGCTTTTGTAGCAAGAAGACGGCAGTGAAAAGAGAGACTAGTTAACTGCTTAGGGTACTATCACTATAAAAGCAACACCTTCTCACCCAGAGGCCACTGGTCTACCTTCATTTAAATGAGATCTGCTTACTTCAGCACCATGGTGTTTGCATGTCATTACTTTTTATATTTGCTAGAAAAATTTAACAATGAGTGTGTGAGGCCTGCTTCTTGTTTTGCTTATCATGAGAATTGTTAGTTAAAGCTCAGAGCTGAAATGTGCAACAGAGATACCTGTGTGGGTTGCATGAGTATTACCAGGGTCATCTCTCCCTGGGGCTGCTGGTTCTACCTATGCAGGAGAGAGGAGAGTTTAGTGCAGGGAGAGACCACAGTAAATGAGAAATCGTTAGACAACATATACTTATGAATTGACAGCAAATTATCTGTGACCATAACAGAACATTTAAAACATCCAAAGCTACTATTTTAGCAGGTCCTGACATGTTAAAAGGACAGTAGTAGTTGAGAAGAAATAGTCTGCATGTAGATAAGGGTACTCTTTCAGTAGATGGATACTCATAACAGAGGATGTTAGTGGAAAGCAAGTGGTTTGCAAGAGAAATGTATCACAAAGATGATTTAGGAACAAAATAGAGGCTGGTACAGTCTGAGTATTCAAAGCACAGCAAAAAAAAAAAGAAAAAGAAAAAGCGTGCTTATTGATGCTTGGAGAACCTTCTGTTTGGAGAGTCAGAGTACAATGCCCAGAATCTGCAACCTAAGAAGAGAAGTTATTAACATTTATTTTTGCCTGGTGTCACATCTTTTGAGACACAAGTAGTTCCTCAAGACTCAGAGTGATAGGAAGGCAGAAGATTTGCTATGCCTATAAGACAAATCAAGCCATCACAAATGAAAATTTTTGAATAAATAATTTCAAAACTTTTTCTGAGGAAGTGGAAGGAAAACATTGGTAGATAACTGTATGAAGAGAGCTGGAGAAGCAAGCAGGCAGGTACACGTGTGCATGCACGCATCCTGGCACACACATAAGGGGAATCGGGAGGCCAAGACCCAGATCTGACTTGGGGAAGCTGAATAAAGATACTGTGGATGCTCACCATGAATCTTATTACTTGATGCTTATTTTTAATGCTAAGATTCAACCACATGCTGCTCTAAGAGGATTGTTCTGTCAATTTTAGTGCCACTCACAGGCTCCCAAATTAAATTCCAGGCACCATTGTGCTGCAGCTTAGCTCATCGTGAGCAGGGACCTACGTGACTCCCCACGAGGGCTGAGAGCTGGGAAGTCGCACTGAAGATAACCCGAGCTGCAGCAAACACTCCCTCTGTCAGCAGAGGTTTCACCCAGCATACATCTTCGGCAATCGTTTACAGGGTTAATGATCATCCAGGGAGGCAAAAATTACCATCCTTTAAACCAGAAGAGCTGAGCAGAGTGCTACAAGTGATCAATTGCCTCAGACAAACTGTTTTCTTAGGACTGCATCTCTCCAAAACATTTTCCAGCAAACACTACGCAATGATGGGAGTTGCACAAGTGCCTAAT